AAAAAACCCCTAAATTCTCAGTCAAATCAGAAAATTCATAATGGATACCATCATTCTGTTACAAAGCAATCACATGGTATGAGACAAAATTCTAATGTTCGAAAATATTAACGCTGCAGCTCAAAAGCACCTTTTTTTTTTTTTTTTTTTTTTTTTGTAAAATAAACAGTTTCCCCTGACATAGAAGCTAGTTCTAGTTTCTATTTCCTTTAAGTGCCTCTTTTGCTTGAGAGATAGGTTATCAGTAGTTTGTCTTCAGGTCATCTAAAAGACAGAAGCGTTTCAAATAAATCACTTGTTTTCATGGTTAAAGCTCAGATACATGACTGGTAAGCTCAGCCCTCTAGCCCAGCCCAGATTTGGCCAGATAACACTCTGGAAGTATATGGTGAACAGCAACAACACAATAAGGCCAAAATGTAAGCCAAAATGTAACATTCAGAGACAAAAATGGGCTGAAATAGAGAATGAATAAGGGTAAGGCCAGTCAAGAGCCAAAAGGCCAAAAAGAAACCTAAAAGGAGAAGTCACAGAGAAGCTTGAAGTCATTAGCACCACCAACTGGGACTTAGAGAGTCCATGGGACTTTTTATGCTCTTTGCTTTAACTGAACAAGTCCAGTGTTGTATTCTTGGAAATTCACATCTTTTTCTCTCTTGCACTCTACAAAGTCGTCACAAGAAAGAATGGGAAAAAACACTTGGGAGCAGATTGAATACTACCAAGTATGTACAAGTTTCTTCTGTGCACATTAAGAAGTTAGATGATTTGCCCATCACAAACCTACAAGAGATCTGGAAAACAGTTAAGAAAAAGCTGGTGATAGACAGCTGTTTTATCGTTGCTGAAAAAAAAAATACTCCTCAGTCCTTTTTTTTGGACAGAGTCAAATGAGGCGATATCCACCTTAGGACAGAGAGGATTTTGTATCAAATAATGGGGTAATTCCAAAACTGTAAGACTCTAAATATACTTTTTGTAATTTCCTATAATAGTAATGGAAGAAAAAGAGACTATAACAACAAAGTATTTCAAGCAGCAATTAGTCATCGTGCTCTGCATGAAACAACAAAGTATTATATATGCAGATTAGATGGTGGGATTTGAAAGTGATAGGTCTGTTGCAAATTATCTCATGATGGAACTGAAAAAAACCCCAGCAAATTAGGAGGACAAATGTTATGTGAAAAGCTTTCCACTGGGTCGGGACATAATTCCTCATGGTATCATGTTAAATCCCAGCAGAGCCTGGACTCCAGTTCTGTCTACAAGAAACAAAGACAGCAAACATGAATGGGAGTGAACACATAATATTTTGAAATATTATATTTTTTAAGTTATGTTAAGGATAAGTAGCACTGTTGACACTAAAAATGTCAAGTCAAGGTATTCAGAACAATAGAATCACACAAGCTGGAGGGGAGTAACATTTAGTCCATCCATCTGTAGAATCTAGTCCAACTCCTGCTCCAAGCAGGAACTTCTACAATAGCCACATTCACAGTTAGCAAAGTATTTTTAATTTATATTATTTCTTTTCTTTTCTTTTTTTTTTTTTTTTTTAATTCCATGCAGGTGTTTTCCTGTGGTCTACAGAAGCAGAAAGTAACTCAAGTAACAACAACAAAAAAAATATTTTCATTCCTATTAATCTTACAGTTTCTCCTTTTCCACTCACTTTATTTGTACACATACCTAGAGTATTATAGATATTTTTCCAGTCCTGAAATCAGATAATTCACACTGGGCTTAAAGAAATAAAATTCAAATGGGCTTAAAGATGAGTAGGCTTGCATAGAAAGAGTGAATCAGTCAGTGAAATATTCCATCAAGAGAAAAAAGGATGCCTTGAAGATCAGAGTTACTCAGAGGAAGAAAGTAATTGTCCATGGTGGGGGCAAAAAAAAAAAAAAAGTGACTAATAAACAAATTCCCACGTTGAGATACCTGCTACTGAATGAAGTAGGCTTTGTTTTTGCAGAGTTTAAGCAAGGTTTAGAGAAGAACGTGAGGATTTTGTTGCTTTAAATTGTCTTTACATCTCCTGTGACCCTAAAATAAAAGTTTACTAAAAGTTTAGGTGCCACACTTCTTCCTAGATACACATATCAGATACAAATCAGATACTCACAACTCCCGGTCTTCTTTCTATTTTTGCCAGTCTTACATGAATCTTTACACGTTTACAAATAGACCTAGCTTAGAATGAACCAGATAAAGAGCACTGATTTTCTTTGCACAGGCATAAAAAGCAGCAGTAATAGTTCAGGGACTGTGGCTTACTGATTTAGAAGACTGAGGAGGATTCTTAGATGAAAACATTAGTATACTAAGAGCATTATGAATTCAGAATATAAGGAGAGCAGAACATAAGATCAGCTAATGCCAGGTGGTCTGCTTGGTAACCACAACTTCTTCAACCCATTCCTCCTTCCCTTTTGACTGCCTTCAAGTATGGTAGCACCAGGATCCTACCAGCAAAGCTATCCTAAAGCCCAGTGGTGTAATATCTTCCAAAGGGATACATACAACCTTCCACAAGTGGGGATTTTTCTTGAACGTACTTTACCTCCCACCTATGCCAAACTTCCTCTGACTTGTGGCAAATGCAGGAAGAAAAAAAAAAATCTCCTGCATTTATTTCTGTTGGTGTCTGTTATCATCAAAGTATTCTTGACTGCACGCAGTGCAACATTATCAAGAAAAGTGCTATCATCTTCTATTGATCTACCAACAAGAACATCGAAAGTAGAATGGGCTGTATAGAGATGAAGCTGGAAAACACTTCAGATTCACGGAAATTTGTCCAATATAAGACAAGGTTATTTATGCAATGTATCAAAAACAAGGTTGTAGCCTCTGCAGAGGCCTCATTTCAGAATCTTTTAAGACAGTAAGGCCAAAGTTCACAAATTTCACCCTACCTAATGCTAATATAACCCATCTCCTCCTCTACCAAATAATGTAACTGGAAAACAATTCAAATATTGTGTGCCAGCAGCATTGCCTTGATGTAAGTAACAAGAATACTATTCTTTATTTACTCTGGAGAATACTTATTGCAAGAAGGTGAAGTACAAACTCCATGCAGTAGCACATGATAATCCCTTTCTAATCTCAGAAGGTAAAGATAGCAGCTTCATTTTAAATGGAGAACAGACACTCCTTGTCTGGTAGACAAACTGTCAGCAGTGCTGCATTGATAGACACAAGTGAACGAACTATCCCATGCTTCAGAGGAGCAGCTCTGCCTGGTCCCTCAGACTCACAGAACCCAACTTTTGGGTTACTTATACCTTCTTGCAGCTACAAGTTCAAGACATTGCCCCCCTAAAATGTACAGAGAGGAGGGGAACAGGAATTTTCCCTTCATGTAACACTTTTGTCTGTTGCCTTTCACCTTCCTACTGCATCCTTCTGAGAAGAGTTTGGATGCGGCACCTCTGTAGCCCCCCCTATAATGCACTGAGGACAGCTACTGACTGAAGAAATGCAATGCTGAGGCTGAACATCAAAAAAAAAAAGCGTGCTAATAAGAAAACAACTAGGGTACTGATAACACCTCTTCCTTCCTTTTTAGTCTTGTTCAGATGGATTAAGCCCAGTTAGTAAATACCTCTGTGTTACAAAGGTCAGTGTTTATCTGATAGTGTGGAGATAAATGTTTTCTGCAGTGCAACCTATGCAGACAAATTTATGTCACTGTTAATGCTCAG